CCCACTATCCATAGAGATGCTTACAACTTTTGTAAATCGTGTGAGAGATGTCAAAAGATGGGATCAATGTCGAGAAGAGATATGATGCCCTTGACCAATATCCTTGTTGTAGAAATCTTTGATATATGGGGCATTGATTTTATGGGTCCATTTTCTATGTCTTATGGTTTTCAATATATTCTCATTGCCGTTGATTATGTTTCCAAGTAGGTGGAAGAATGTGCTACTAAAACAAATGACCATTCCGTGGTTATTCAATTCATCAAATCCAATATCTTTGCTCGTTTTAGTATGCCTAGGGCTATGATAAATGACGGAGGAAAGCACTTTTGTAACCAATTCTTAAGGCATTTATTTCTTAAGTACTCCGTTACTCATAAAGTGGCCACTCCTTACGATCCTCAAACAAGTGGGCAAGTAGAAGTGTCTAACCGGAAAATTAAGCATATTCTTAAGAAGACGGTTAACACCACCCGGAAAGATTGGTCACGGAAGTTAAATGATGCTTTGTGGGCTTACCGGACGGCATATAAGACTCCTATTGGCATGTCTCCTTATAGACTTGTATATGGAAAGCCTTGCCATCTTCTGGTTGAGTTGGAACATAAAGCCTTGTGGGCGGTTAAAAAGCTCAATCTTGATTTTGATAAAGCAGGAGAGAACCGGTTATTACAATTGAGTGAGTTGGAAGAGTTGAGACATAATGTTTATGATAATGCCAAACTCTACAAAGAAAGAACTAAAGCTTTTCATGATAAGCATATTGTGAAGAAGTCTTTTGAACCCGGTCAAAAATTTGGCTCTTCAACTCTAGATTGAAACTCTTTCTGGGGAAGTTGAGACCCAAAGTCATCTCTGTTGCACTGCATGGGGCGGTTGAGATTCAAAATTTGAAAAAGGGGAACACTTTCAAGGTTAATGGGCAGAGATTAAAACCCTACATTGAGGGATAGGTCTTCCAAAGACATTTAGAAGCTGCACATCTAATAGACCCTGTTTATGAAGACATCTAAGGGTTGTAATGCAAAATGGAAGAGTTTTTGCTTGTTCAATCGATCTCAATAGAAGTTCGATCGATCGAACATCATACCCACATCGAATCACCTCTCTGTCCAATTGTTTGAAGAAAACCTGCATTTTCAGCTCTTTGTCCCATCATTCGAACTTGTTCCTAGATCGATCTTTAGTTCTTCGATCGATCCAACTTCATCTTGGATTGATCTACAGTCTCAACACTTAGAAAATTTTGAACCTGCATCCAACCTGCATCCGAAGACCTCTCTGTCTTATCGTTTGAACATGTCTAAAGGTTTATGCATATTCGATCGATCGAAAAAGTTTCTGAGATCGATCTAAACTTGATCGATCTGAATATCTTTGGTTTAACCTTTTTCTTACCCTTTTTGAATTTCAAGCTTATTTATTCAAAGCAGCATTACGTCTAGTTAGAGACGTTAAACTTAGCAATCATTGTTCATGCTTTCTTAAATTCCATTGTGTTTATTCAAAATAAAAAATAAAAAAATAAAAATAAAATAAAAAAAATAAAAAAATCTCTCTTGTGCCCTTATGTGTAATTATGCTACTTTTCTTTCGGGTTTGATCTCATATCTCTCTTTCATCTTGTGTTATAGTACTTTAGAATGCATGATTTAATCATTCTTCTCCCATTTGAGATTTGATGTGAATTTGTTAGTGTGGTTATTCAAGTAGGTTGTTGATTCCAAGTTTGGGGGAGACGTCTTTCGAATTGGGTCACTGCCGGGCTTCATGTCTTTGCCATCATGGTATACTCTTTCTATCATTTTCATTGTTCTCATTGCACATTGAGAACAATGTACAGTTTAAGTTTAGGGGTAAGGTGCCTTTGTTGCATTCTACTTAAGTTGAGCTTTAATTGCATGATTGAGATCGGAGATCTATGTTAGCGATGATTTTGATCTTTTGAGGACTATTTGAGATTCACTCTAGTATTCTACACTAGCACAGGCGCACACTAGCATTCAATTGTGGGGTACATGCTTAGTTGATTATTGAATTGGTTATATCAAAATTGGGCTAGTAGTGCATTGAAAGCTTTCATTCTTGATAAAGGTGGATAACAAACCCTTTTTATTGAGTAGCCGGGATTCTACCCTTTTTATTAAGTACATGCTTAGTTGATTATTGAAAAAAATAAATCAAGAGCAGACTTAAGGACTGAAACTGAGCAAATGTCTCCATGGCAAAATAATAGCAGGTCATCTGCAAAGGACAAGTGAGTGATTTTTTGCTCTTTACACCTCCAATGATACTTGAAAGAAGACACCTTTCCTACATAGTTGGCAACAATAGATGAGAATGCATCCATAATAATGACAAAAATGAAAGGAGATATAGGATCCCCTTGCCTAAGACCTCTCTTTCCTTTAAAAAATCCCTGGAATTTACCATTGAGAGCAATTGTGAAGGAAGGGGAGGAGATGCAGGCTTTGATGAGAGAGACAAACTTAGGAGGATAATTATGTAATGTTAGGCAGCTTAAAATGAAGTCCCACTTCACAGAATCAAAAGCCTTCTTGAGGTCCACCTTGATGGCACATCTTGGTGGTCTGTTATGTCTATGATAACCTCTCAACAGCTTATGTGCAAGAAGGATAGGATTTGAGATTTTCCTTCCATGGACAAAGGCAGATTGAGCTTGATCAATTAATTCTAGCATTGTGGATTGTAGCCTGGCTGCAAGCAACTTTGATATACACTTGTAGATGGTATTAACACAAGAGATAGGTCTATAGTCATGTAGAGAGGTTGGATTTTGACATTTGGTAACTAAGGCAATGTATGTGTTGTTTGCCTCAGCTAAGAGCTTACCATTTCTAAAGAATTTTGAGATAGCTTTTGTGACTGACCTGCCAACAATATTCCAAGCCTTCTGAAAAAAGAATGCATTAAACCCATCAGGGCCTGGAGCTCTATCTTTGTTTAGGTTCAGCATGTAGCTTTTGATCTCCATGTTGGAAGGTATTTCATCTAGATAAGAGTGATGGGAGTTAGGGACAACTTTGGTGATAAAGATTGCCAGGTCAGAGAGTAGGTGTGTGGGAGGAGGGGAGTGGCCTAGTAAGGATTGAAAGTATTAAACCACTTGAAATTTGATGTCATCCATGTTGTGGATAGTCTTGCCATCATCAAGTTTTACAGACACAATCTTTTTCTTGTTGTTTCTTGAAGTGAGGGATTTGTGGAAGAAGGCTGAGTTACAATCACCAAGCTTTAACCAAGCCATTCTTGACTTTTGTCTTAGGACATCTTCTTGGATTTTCCCTAATATCAAGAATTCAGTGGTGAGGACCCTTTCTAGGTATCTAAGAGTGGGATCACTGGGAGATGAATCCAAATCCATTTGGCAGGATTGGAACTCAAGCTGGACAGCATGGATTTTGGAGTCAATCTCTGAAAATTCTTTCCCACACTTGTTCCTTAAGATAGGTTTTAGTTGTTTGAACTTTTGTACAGCTTGGAACATTGCAGTTCCTTTTACATGTGTGCTCCAAACTTTATGGACTGAGGAATAAAAGTGTTGGTAGGATGTCCAAGCATTGAAAAATCTGAAGGGAGTATGTCTTATTGGTGAGTTCAGACTTAAGGTAACCAAAATGGGGCTATGGTCAGAGATACCTGGGGTGAGGAACTAGCATTCTGAAATTGGAAAGGAAGTAAACCATGTTTGATTTACCAGAGCTCTATCCAACTTTTTTGCAATTCATGCATCTCTTATACTCTTATTTGACCAAGAGTATAAAATGCCACTGAATTTTAGGTCCTCCAATTCAGCATTTTGAAGGCAATCTTTAAAGTCTGTCATTGCTATGCACCACTTCTTGGAGCCTCCATGCTTCTCACCAATGTTGGGAATGACATTGAAGTCCCCCATTAAAAGCCAAGGGAACTGAGCAAAAATGGCTGCATGGTAAGTGAGATCATCCCATAAAACCTGTCTTTCAATAGCACAGTTAGCTGCATAAATGAAAGTGGTGAAGAAGGAAATGTTGAGACCAATGATAGAGATGGAACAATGTATAGCCTGTTTGCTGCAGTGAATGACTGATAGGTTAATGGTGTTTGGATTCCACATAATCCAAATTCTTCCAAGGTCTGAGAAGGGGTAATTGTCTGTGATAGACCATTGAGGGGCTATAAATCTATGAATGGCTGCCACATTAGAAGATGCCACTTTGGTCTCCACTATGGAGACCAAATTAAGTTTCCTTTCAGAAATTAGTTTCTTAATTTTTGATTGTTTAGAGGACTGGTTCAGCCCTCTAATGTTCCATATGAGAAGAGAAATCATGAGAAGGGAGGAAAGAAGTGACCTCCAGGATGCTTTGGGCTTACTGAGGAGCCCTCTGGCATCAACCCTTGAATAATATCAGCTTTCATCCTTGCATATTTCTTTAGGCTCCTTGCTGACAATCTCTTTCATTGTGTTGGTGGGATACAGGTGCCTGGATCACTCAGAGATGAAGAAGGCAGCAATGGAAAGTTGGTTGTTTAAGCATACTTGACAGGCTTAGGACTAATTGTTTTGGCACCTTTATGTTCCTTGAGCTTCTTGTACTAGAAGGGTGTAGATGGAGAGACAGTGGAGGTTGAATATTGGACTAGTGTGGATGGTGAGTTTTGTTTGTGAGTGGTGGTTGGAGTGGACTTTGGTGAGGAGAAATTGAGCTTCCTGCTGCATAAAGGTGAGTGTGGTGGGGATAGAGATGTGGAATGGGATTGTGAGTAAGAGATGGAGTTACTGACAATTGTATTGTTGGATGATGGGGTTTGTGGTGATGGAGATGGTGAGATAAGGTTATTTGTAGAGTCTTCCATATTGGTGTCGAGCTGATGTAGTGGAGAAAATTGGTTAACATTTGAAGCTTTAGCTATGGGGAGGGATGAGGGCTTAGTAACCATTGCAGTTCCTTTGTTCCTCTTCTTCTTTACTATAATCCACTCAATGGATGGTTGAATTATAGGGCTGTGATCCTTGTTTTTGGGGGAAGAAGGTCTTGATCGTTGCTGACAACACCCTTCCTATGGGGATGATTGATATAGGTAAGAGGACAGTTGGCTTCTGAATGGTTGAGTGCCTTACATTTGGAGCAAATTTTTGGCAACCATTGGTATTCAATTCTAATTTCCACCAAGGACAGATCATTCATTCTGAGTTGAACATCCTGTTTGATAGGCTTGCTGAGGTCTATGTTAGTACAAATTTGAGCAAACTTCAGCTTGATCCTTGATTCTGTAGCTTCATCAGCATATAAAGGCTCTCCAACAATGCTTGCAATGTGGCTTAGCCCCTTTGCAGTCCAGTAATTAGGTGGGACATTATAGAACTTAGTCCAGATAAGTAAGCAGCCTAGTTGAGTTTGTTGAGGTTGGTTGACCTTGTTCCATTTCATTAGTGAGAAGGGGTGCCCAGCAATCCACCATGCACTACAAGAAATTCGGGTTTTAGGGACAGTCGAAACTGTCCCTAAAAGTACCAAATACGTCCCTAAAAGTCAGTTTGGACCGTCACTAAAAGTTGCGTGCCAAAAGAGCTTTAGGGACGGTCAAAGTTGACCGTCCCTAATACTTTTGACCTTTAGGGACGGTCCAACCTGTCCCAAATAACATCGTCCCTAAAACTTTTTAGGGACGGCCAAGACTGTCACTAATAAGGTACGAATTAGGGACAGTTTAAATGACTGTCCCCAAAAACTAGAGTATTAGGGACAGACAGACCGTCCCTAATACATAATTTTTCAATTATAATTATTGTATTAGGGACGGACAAACCGTCCCTAATAGATTATTTTAATTATATATTTTAATATATTATTGTATTAGGGACGGTCAGACCGTCCCTAATACATTATTTTTAATTATATATTTTAATATATATTGTATTAGGGACGGTCAGACCGTCCCTAATATATTATTTTAATTATATATTTTAATATATTATTGTATTAGGAATGGTCAGGACCGTCCCTAATACATTATTTTTAATTATATATTTTCATATATTGTATTAAGGACAGTCCGACCGTCTCTAATAGATTAATTTAATTATATATTTTAATATATTATTGTATTAGGGACGGTCAGGACTGTCCCTAATACATTATTTTAATTATATATTTTAATATATTAATGTATTAGGGACGGTCAGACCGTCCCTAATACATTAATTTAATTATATATTTTAATATATTATTGTATTAGGGACAGTCAGGACCGTCCCTAATACATTATTTTAATTATATATTTAATATATTATTGTATTAGGGACGGTCAGGACCGTCCCTAATACATTATTTTTAATTATATATTTTCATATATTGTATTAGGGACGGTCAGACCGTCCCTAATACATTAATTTAATTATATATTTTAATATATTATTGTATTAGGGACGGTCAGGACCGTCCCTAATACATTATTTTTAATTATAATTATTATATTAAACCGTCTATATATATATATATATATATTGTATGCTTAATTTGTGAATTTAACCATTCCGGATACATACATACAAAACATATACAAAATAGATCCACAATAACATTCAAAAAAATATTACTATCCATAGAATAAAATCAATCCACAATATATATATTCAAGATCCATAAAATATAAAATCTCTAGTTTTCTAAACAAAAACTAAAACCATGTGGTAGCACAAAAAATTGTTCCATCCTCTTCAAGATCCATTATTCATTCTGTTGGTGGTTGTGGTGGTGCTTGCTGATGAGACCATGTTGGTGGCAGCAGCTGATATTGCCATCTTGTTGTTGGTGGCGGCTGCTGAAAATACGAGTCTGCTGGAGGTGGCGGTGGTTGTTGATGCCAATTTGGTGCGGTTTGCTGCTGTTGGGAATCTGATGGAGACTGTTGTTGGTGGAACCATGGTGGCGACTACTGCTGCTGTTGGAATTGGAGGAACCATGGTGGCGGCTGCTGCTGCTGCTGCTGATATTGGAGGAACCATGGTGGCGGCTGTTGTTGGTACTGCTCAAGCATCTTCTCAAGTTTTTCTATTTTTTCCGCCATTTGTACACTTCTTTCTTCAGCAATTTCGGCCCTTTTCCTAGAAGCCTCATCATATGATGAAGAGGCACGCTGACGCTTTGGAGCCACGAAACCATGTCCGAATCCACGGCAATATCCCTTCCTTATGCCTAGTTGGTTTTGTACTATCTTAACATCATTTATGGATGGACTCGTACCATCAGAATTTTGAGAATTTTGTGCAACCTTTTCTTTCATTGCATCCTACAAAATATTTAAGTTCGCTATCAAATTAAAAAAATATGGCATAGGAATAAATCAAGTAATAACAGAAAATGTAATCACCAATGCACCAGCACATAATAATAGAGAGATTAAAGTGATTCGGTTTATAACATGCGCGCATACAGTAAACAATGGCATTTCTTGTATGCCATTTCTTGTATGACATGCTGTTTCTCAACAAATAGAAAAAAAATTCGGACATTTAAATAAATTTAAGGCTCACTACTGTCTAAATTATTGTTAGAAACTTTGTGGGTAGTTGGTGCACCAGAAAAATATTAGCAAACAAACCATGGGTTTGACAGAGCTAATTTTTTCACAAAGACTCTCCATTATCATTATAATGTGGTCTGATACGAGTTTAACACACAAAAAGTATCCATCACTGCAAAATGGATGATCAAATCATTAAGGTTCTGGTAGTCTAATAGATTAGAATGGAGCCAAAACGCAAGGCACTTTCTGTAACTTGCAACTGTAAGGCACTTTCTCAAACATGGTAAATGGCTGCCCATGTTGTCCCCGTTGCAAGTTGTGCGATTCCATCACCCACATAGCCAAATTTGATATGAAAAAGGAATGATGCATTTTGACATTTAGTAGAAACCAACTATCTCTCCAAAATCCTAATGGTGGGCTCTGGGGCCACAGTGAAGTTCCAATTTTGTTTTTCCAGTCTTTTTGTGCTCTGGAGTTGTTTGGTAAAATAAAAGAATAAGCGTAATGTTTTATATTAGCATAACCAAAAAAAAAAAAAAAAAGAAGGTATTTGAATTAGTGCATTTGGGAGTCCATGTATTGACCTTATAAATTTGAAAAAGATGAACATCAACCTATATATATTTTTCTAATAAGCTAAAAAAAGCTTTTAGCTCGTCATATGAATATACATATAAAAGCTAAAAAAAGCTTTTAGCTCGTCATATATATATATATATACGTTAATTGAATAATAAACTTAGAATCTCCTATCACTATTAATGATAATAAAGTCAATCGTGCAAACACAATATGGTTGGAGACATACGACCTATAAGCTCCAAGAGTCACCAAAATAATTGAGTCGACTTCAAGATCTTCATGTCAACTTGATTTTAGAAGCTAAACCCATCAACCTAATTATGATAAGGTTGGTTTAGGAAAGACAAACCCAATGACTTATGGATTGAATTGAACTTAAGTTTTCCACTCTTTCTATCAAGGTCCCAAGGTTTGATCGAGCAGTTTTGCCCCAACATGAATTCAGTTTGACCTTTAGTAGAAACATTGATTCATATAAATGAAATGATTATATCTACTGCAAAAAAGCCACTCTGGGCGTCTGAAATGACAGCTTGACATGAATGGAATCCATTATTGAGCTGCCCAAATTTTAAGTTGATGTGTAATGTGAATAACATATAATAGAGTCCACAACTTCCGATTCCGAGTGCAGAGACGCAGATCAAAGAGGAGCAAGGAATTAACCCTGTGAGTCTCTCATCTCTCTCTAAAATATGTATGTGTGCGTTTGTATATAATTTTCTGATAGATGCAATTCCAAAAAGTGTATGTGTGTGTATATATATAATTTCACATAGATATATAGGTTAAAATGTCATAATAGTTGAGGTTACAGACTCACAGAGTAGTTGAAACTGCAGAGCAAATTAATCAAGAATATATTTTGTGTGCCACTTCTCAGAATATGCAAGACCAGTGATGTATATATAAACTCACATATGCGCATAAATAGAAGAAATTTTGATAGTTGAGATTATTGAGTGTAGATGAATCTACAGAGCAAATTAATCAATTTAGAGTTTTTATAATCTCAATTTTGTAGTCCGAAGAAAAGGAAAAGAAAGAAGAAAGTAGTTAACCTGATACAAGGCTAGAACAAGTTGTAGATTGTCTTTTCTGTAGTGCTTGGAATGAGAATGAAATCTTATTGCTAATGAGATAGGAGCGAATAGACTGGGAATAAGGCTCTTTCCCTTTGCAGATTTTATGGAATCCGGAGACTCAAATCCAGAGGCTCCTGGCCTCTATATGGCTGAATCATTGAATAAATATGGCATTCTCTACTATCACATGGTTGAGCCTAGGGTGAAAACTCGAGGAGAAATATGTGATCTAAATTCAGCTCCTCCCTCTCTGTCATCTAAATTCAGCTCTCAAAAAGAAGAGAAACCAGCCAGGAACACCACGCAATGCCAATCTTTATGAATTTAGGGGTCCTACAAAGGAGATTTGATATCTCATAAAATGCAGTTAATTTAGATTTGAAGATCTAAAATAATGTCTGAAAAATATTTGATGATCTAATAATGTCATAGGTAGACATATTGATGTAATAGGTAAATAGTGATTCTCTACTATCCCAAAACTAAGCTATTAAACTTATAACAATAAATCAGATTTTGATTTCTTGTCTATTTAATTCAAGAAATTAACTAATAAAATATAACATGACGTTCTAAGAGTATCTAGGACAGCTTTTACTGAAGTTGTGTGTGTGTGTGAGAGAGAGAGAGAACAAATACAGCTCAAGATATAGTAGGATGACAACAGGATCTACAGTTGACCCCATCTAAATAGAGGAATATGCTTTATATATAAGATAACCTTCCTACAGGAGCTGATCGATAAAGTAGCTTGAAGCCTTCATATCACATAATTAAACTAACTAAAAGGAAGAGAATAAAAAAGGGAACAACAATACTTACCAAAAAAAAGAGGTCACATTCATCTTTTCTTTAACACTCCTACAAATGGGATTTTATGTTTTTGGTGGATTTTCAAAGTTACAACCACCCAAACATAATAAAAGAATACGGATAATTATATATTATATATATGTGCAACCCCACATAAAGCTTCAGCTTTTAAAGTCCTTGCTTCATGGAAAATCACTTCTCACTTTCTCTACATATATATTTAGATAATCATAAAACATAAAAGTGTGTATATATATATATATGTAACAACCACACATAAACCTTATGCATAAAAGGGCTGCTTCATGGAAAATCACCTCATTTTCTCCACACCCCCACACACAAACAGACAGACAGACAGATATATTCATATATATATATAAATGGGTCACTACTTGTTAGAGCAAAGTGAGGCTTCCATTTACAAGCTATTCCATTCTCTCTCTTCTCTCTCCTGCTATAGGTATAATTTTCAGTCACAACCAAGATTGACGAAACCCTAATTAAAATTAATCTTTACTCTAAACAAGTTTTAATTCAAGAAACCCCAATTAATGGACTGATTCATTAATTTTCATGATACATCCAAAGATCTCATGTATGTATTTAGTAGAAGTGGAAATTTTAAAGAATGTGAGTCAAGACAGAGATGGTGAGGGGTTTCTAGACTTGAAGTATCTTGGAGTTATGGAATGTAAGGGGATAGAACATTTATTTGGCATGAGTTGTTATTAAATCTCCAGATTTCTACCCTAGATATAAGACACATATTTGAACTATGCAAAACAGATAAATTACAAATCCAACACAATCAATCAATGTGGACAATATTATGAGATCCAAATTTCATAATCTAACATGCTAGCTTATAGTTAACTTACAAAATTCCTCTTAGCTTTCTCGTGTGCCCATCCACCTTGTTCCTTAAAATGTGTGTCCTTGTACAAACGAATAGCAGGATCCTCTTCCCTTTCACCATCCTCATCTTCTTGGCTCTGCCTTTCTTTGAGTTTGACCTATAGTACAAAGTAATAGTGACTATTAGACAAATATATGGTTTAGAACGTAGAATATAAAATAAAAAATTTATAATTATTGTTTCGTATATTACGCACACAATCATCGTAACGTCTGACGAAGGACATTGATCCAGAATAATGTGGAACCTCATTCTTGGAACGATTTTCTTTGTTTTTTGCACTTATTTCCTAAGTAGTAATTCAAACAATATTACAAGTTAGGAAACCTAAATAACAAGTGAATGAAGTTATTATATTAAATAGTAAAAACAAGTAGTTAAGAAATTGAACCTGAAATTTAGGTGACATCCACGTATCACACAATTTTTCCCAAACAGCATTACCAATACCATTGTAAGGATGGCGGCGTGCATTCTCAATCGGAAGATGCTCTTCAAAATGACACTTCAATTTATATCTATATTTCCTCAACGCGCTGAAAATTCCTATATTTACTCGCTTAAAATCAATGTCATTTGCGTATGCATCCACTCCAAAGACCTCCTTTATAATGTAAAATTAAAGTAAGCTATAATTTGTAACCAATTGGACCAGTAATCTCTGATTTTTTTTTTACCAAAACAAGCATTAAATGATGGTTATCATTACCTTCAAATGGTCATAGCAGACCTCTTTCTCAAAATCTGGAACATCCCTCCACGTTTTATACTTTAGAAGGGCTTCGGTATCTCGTGTATTAATGCCAACCTCAGCCGTCCATAATTTGTTATTTAAACCAACAGGTTTAATATAACCCTCTCCAAACTCAACTGGAACTGGCCAATTGTTTTCATTAATTTTGTGCAAGGCTTCATTTTTTGCTCTTCCACGCCCTTTTCGTATCGGACCTGAAAAAAAAATTTATCATCTTAATTAAAGCGTAGGCATTTTACAAAAGAACTTATGGTTAATCAATGATGAAGCATAATTACCTCCACTTGGTTGTGGCCCTATCTGCTCATTACTACCATCACCTTCCATTCTTTTATTTGTTGAATTCCTATCTTCACCTAATCCACTTGGTTGTGTAGGAGGTGAACTTGTAGATGGTTGCTCAGTTTCAGCCCTGCGGGACCTTAAAACTCTACACATCGGTTCCTCGGAGGTGTCCATAATTTAGTTTACAAGCTGATATGAAGAATCAAGTGAAATTAAATCAAAATAAACAAGCATATGCAAAATATATTATGAGTCATCATTTCATATTTACATAATTCCATTGAATAAAAAATTCAATAATTAGAGGCAATATAACTGAATAGATCACATTAAATATAATCATAAACCCAAAAAAAAAAGTAAATGCTTAAATATAACAATTAATTTAGTCAACCAAATCAAAGCTGCAAATTAATGAAGCACAGAAACAATACTTAAAGAGAAATTTAAACAAAAAGTAACTCAAAAGATAAAGCTCGGTAATATAATTCAGCTGGTCACTTAAAGTATTAATCATAAAACAATAAAATGAGGTACATGCTCAAGAATAAAAAGCTTCACATGTCATCCATATCAGTATCATCTTCAGACATTAATTCTGGTTCCTCATCTGAACTATATTGAATGTCAAGAGCTTCATCATTCTCAACATCCCAAAAGTCATCATTAATGGCTGCTTCACCCCTACATTTTTGAATCATTTCAGCATCAAGAGTTTCACCCTCCAAATCGTCCCTGTTCAAAGGGAATAAATCCATGTCCAAGCCCGCTTCAACAACTCCATCCACGATGCTTGGTTCGCTCTCTTGGTATGCTGTAGTGTTGAGCATTTCATCATGTACTCCTGTTTCACCCTCTTTTTCAGGTACATCAAACGAGCTTCTACTTGTTATATCTTGAACTACCTCCCACGTCCCTTGTAATTTGTTGTCTTTGACATAGAAGCATTGCAATGCTTGATTTGCTAACACAAACGGCTGATTTTTGTACGCTCTACTGGCTACATTTACACTTGTGAAATAGGTATCTTTATGTACACCGGTACCAATCCTAACATCGAACCAATCACATTTGAAAAGAAAAATTTTTCTACCAAGAGGATATCTTAACTCAATGATATCTGTTAGGGCATCATAGTAATCTTGGTCTTCTCCTTTCACTAACACGCCACTATTCTGTGTTTGTCGATTTTGCTCCCTTTCCTTAGTATGGAACCTAATCCCATTTACAATACACGCGGAATATCGACTTACTAAACATTGAGGTCCACACGCTAATGAATACAGATCATCACAAGTTGTTTCCTTTTGATGATGACGCATTTCCTTTATCTATTAAAAGAAGTGTAGTGTTAAATAAATGAATGACAGTTCATTTTAATTAAATTAACGAATTTTATTTAATTAAGTACAATAGGTGCATAATGGACTTACTTTTGTTTCAAACCACCTCGAATATTCTTTAGCATGTCTTTGAGGAACATTGCGCGGATTTTCTCTCTCAAGTTCTACCTTGTGTTTTCTAAACAATTACATTATGTTAATGATACAATTGTATACATGTATTAAGAAATACACTATATATTCATAGAAACTGACAAGATATGACATGCAATGAGTTACTTACTCTTCATATGACAAAACATCTTCACAATTCTGTAAAACGTACAATCGGGCCATCTCTATGTCCGCACGGGGCAATATGTCCAAACTTTGTGCTCCTATCGGTCGAACCACTTGCTTTAGATCATAAATGTGGACCAATTATTGTTGTAGTTCCCCTCACTATTTCTTTCTTCTCTATTGAACCTTGTCTCAATCCCTCCAAGAAATTTTGAACAAAATGTGAGGCACTCATCGTCCACGTAAGCTTCCGCAATAGACCCTTCCGGACGTGCTTTGTTATAGACGTACAATTTGAGAGTATGCAAAAATCTACATAACCGTTAATCAAACCAATAATATTTAATAACAAACTAATAAAACTTGTTTAAAAAAAATATTGGTTTACTAAAAATATACAGCACCTTTCAATCGGGTACATCCATCGATATTGTGCAGGGCCTGCGATGATGGCTTCACGCGGCAAATGCAGAGCCAAGTGCACCATAATGTCAAAAAATGACGGAGGAAATATCATCTCTAACTTACTTAGTATAACAGCAATGTCCCTTTCCATTGCCTCTAAGACATCCACTTTGACAGTTCGACAACACAATTCCTTGAAGAATAAACCAAGCTCAACTATTGTGTTACAAATATCTGAATTTAAGAATCCTCGTATAGCAATAGGGAGGAGACGTTGTAAGAGAACGTGTGAGTCATGACTTTTCAATCCAGATATCTCACAATTATTAACATTCACACACCGACTTATGTTCGATGCATAGCCATATGGAAACTTAACTGATTTTAGCCATTCACATAGTTGTCTTTTATTATTCTTTGACAATGTGTAGCGCGCTTGTGGCATCTCAAATTTTTCACCATTACGTCTCAGGTGGAGTTCTTTTCTAATCCCCATTGCTTCTAAATCCAACTGACTTTTGAATGTGTCCTTAGTTTCCCTTCAATGTCCAATAATGTCCCCAACACACTATCGCATATATTTTTCTCTATATGCATAACATCCAGGTTGTGCCGCAACAAAATGGTCTTCCAGTAAGGTAGTTCAAAGAAAATACTCTTCTTCGTCCAGTTAAGTTCAAATTCCTCACGAGTTCGCTTCTTTTTATTTGGCCCCTTTCCGAAACTAACCTCGGGTATGAGGTTAAGTTGTTCTAGAATATCATCACCCGTCAACTGCTTTGGTGGCCCTTTGTCTTCACTTTTGCCATTAAATTGCTTGTGATGGTTTCTGAAAATGTGATCTAACGATAAAAACATACGACTTCCCAAGTAGCATATCTTACGTCCGTGTTTCAAAAAACAAGAACATGTTTCTTTGTTACAATTCGGACATGCTAGATAACCCTTTGTCATCCATCCAGATACCATCGCATAGGCGGGAAAATCACTAATGGTCCAAATCATTGCCGCATGCATTTTAAAGTTACATTTTACTGTACGCGTCATATGTCATCACACCATCCCACCACAATTCTTTTAACTCTTCAACCAAAGGTTGCATGTACACATCAATATCATTACCAGGCGATGTTGGACCAGGAATAAGCAACGACATAAATATATATGGCTCCTTCATACATATCCAAGGTGGCAAATTGTAAGGCACAATCATCACAGGCCACATACTATACGCATTGCTCATATTTCCAAATGGATTGAATCCATCAATTGCTAATCCAACACGAACATTACGAGGATCAGCAGCAAACCAACTATGCTTACTATCAAAATCCTCCCAAGCTTTTGAATCAGCTGGATGTCTTAACTCATTTGTCTCCTTCACACGTTTCTCCTTATGCCACCGCATATCTAAGGCTGTATCTTTGACATAAACAACCGTTGAAGTCTTGATTTCAATGGGAAGTGCCGGAGAACCTTTTGAGGGATTTTCTTACCCTTACCTTCGTGAGGTTTATACCTCGATTCACCACATTGTGGACAATTTTCTTTACTTGCATTTTCCCTCCAAAATAGAACACAATCATGTTTACATGCATGTATACAATCATATCCGAGACCCAAGTCTCGTAACAAGCTTTTAGTCTCGTAATGAGACTTTGGTAACACATTATTATCGGGAAGCATATCCTTAAATGCATCAAGCATCATGTCAAATGATTTGTTGCTCATTCGGCTTGTAACCTTCACATGGAACAACTTTAATATCGCTGACAACTTAGAGTATTTTTCACAACCTGGCCACAATTCACATTGTGCATCATTTAACAATCTATCAAAGCTTCCTCCTCCAACATCAACTTCAGGCGAATCTTCTTGTTGTGGTGCATTAGTGAAGTTTCCCATTTGTATGTTATCCAACAATTCAAACACATTATCTACATTTCCATCTTCATCGTGGACATTTTCCCTACTGACATTAGCATCAATATTAACATTATTGTTGCTTTGACGAGCCTCCCCGTGATATCCAATTGGTATACCCCTTGTCCATCCCATTTCTCAAGAGATGCTACTTAACTTCTTCAATTTGATGATAAGTCCTATTTTTGCAACGACGACATGGACATCGGGACCTACCGTCTACTTCTGCATGACGCCTAGCCACATCAATGAAGTCATGTATGCCATCAAAATACTTTACACTTCCCCTAGTGTGATGATGAATCTAAGACTTATTCATGTAACTGCTTAAATGTACACAAAAAAAATAAAAAATAAAAGAAAAAAAAGAACATATATCCATCAAGAGTTAATAAAGGATATATATATATATATATATGCATGTATATAAGTGTGTGGAGCCCATCATGGAAGGAACAATGAATGAGTGTAAGAACCGTCTTATCATTTCTTTAAAAAAGAACCAAAAAAAAAAAAAAAGAGTGAAATACAGTTAAAGAAAATTGAAAGACATAGTAATTAAGAAATGGAGTTTCTTCATACTCTGTTGGTTCACTGCCATAGTCACATGGCATTAGTATTATAGACACTGGTAGGTATAATTTCCTAGATCTATCTTCTGACCCAATGAAAAGAGGATGATAGAGGAAGATTCAGATGCACTTTAGATGTTTCAGGTGTATGCAGGTTGTATAGACATAGATGTCTTTCTGGATATTCATGAAATTGGGGAACCCTTAACTCTAATTAGAGATGAGGGTGTTAAAGAAATGGAGGTGTAGATCTTGGAAGTTGTGTAGATGATAAGGGTTTCCAGAATGGGAGCGCACATAATAGAATTTCTCTGTAATTCTATTGGTTTTTTTGGTAATTGAAATTTGTTAAAGTATTTTTTCGCTGTATTTTTATTGTTATTTAGTTAACTGTTTCATTATTAATTTGAGTTCATGTAATAATGGTATTGGATAACATTAGATGGATATAAAATGAGTGATGGAATGGAGATTTAAATCTTTATTCAATATGAATATATGATTGATTCTATTCTAGGTTGTATAACAGTGGAAAAGAGTAATCATGTCATTTTTTGTTTTGTTTTTACTTCTTCAGTTTCAATGACATCTTCTCTGGCAACCTCTCCTAATATTTCTGAGAAATTAATTGTCATTTGAAGGCTTGGGATAAAAAGAAGGTCGAGTAACTCCATCACAAAAATGTTTCCTTCCCTTCCTTGTCGGCATGCCAAACTTGTAAATTTTGATTCTACTTATTCCCCATTAAATATTTAGTCTTATTTATATTGTATCTTTTTTGGAGGCTTGAGAAGGGATTCATCAGCTCCAAATATTCAAATTTGGGGCAGTAGTTAGCAAATTGTTTATAGCCCTCTCACCATGGCTTTGGGTAAGTCTTAAGATAATTAATTTCTAATTTGTTTATGGTATACTGTAGAAAAATACGGTTTTAGTTTACTGTAGTCAGTCTAATTTGTTTAATTCAAAACTTATTAAACAAGGGGCGAAAAAGACTTCTACCACTGCACTACAAACTGACTTAAAATCTTCTACAACATTGCAAGATTACAATTCAAACAATGGAAAAAAATTGTCCAGTAAATAGGAGAACACCAACAGCCAAAAACTAAGAGAAGCAATTTTAATGACTAGTGCTGTTATTTTAACCAAAATCTGGAGTAAATAGGAGAAGAGCAAAAGCAAAAAAAAATAATAATAATAATAATATAAAGGACAGCAACTTCTTATTCTTCTGCAAACGCTAGCCCGGTCCAATTTAGTTTTATCTCTCCCTGTTTAAGCTATGTTTTTCTTCATATCTCCCTGCTCAATCTCTTGAACTAGGCACATCGTCAAAATCAGAAAATATGGTTGTTGAAACAGAGTTTGTTGAAAATTTGTAGTGATAAATCCTATTTAAACTCCATTAATCCAACCATAAAATCAGAAAGAAAGAAAAAAAAATTAATAGCTCAGTTAAAATTTGGTGAAACATGACCAAGAAATCTGAAACTTAAAAGCTCTTGGGTTGATCAAAGCTGGCCCAAGTTTTTAAAAATTCAGTTTTCAAATTTGGTCCAAATGTGAATGACTAATTTAAGCCAAAGATAAAATTGGCTTTTGAATTCCAAAATAAAACCCTTTGTGACGGGTAATCTACATAATGTTATTAATCATTGCAACGAAAAAATAAATTATCTTTCTGCGAATTGTAATTAAACAATCAACCATATAACGAAATTTTCAAAATAAAAATCCAATTCTGCCAGCCACGAAAACAAACTTGACAATCAATATATCATTTGTTTTTCCTTTCTTTCAATTTCTCATTTTCAAACTGTGGGGGCATGAGCAATAAAACTTTTCAGCTCAATCACTTTCTCTGTTTTTACTTTCCCAATCTCAATGTAAGAACAAACAAAAAGCCTATTTCAACTATATCTCAAGAAATATATAAGGAACACATAACAAAATATATAAGGAACACATCACAGAATATATAAGGGTTTAGATTACCTCCTGATTCTGATAGCTGGCCTCCTCCAAGCCCGAGATTCTCTTCGAAACACCTAATAATCACTTCTGCAAACCTGATCATCACAAGGAAAGAAGTCATCAAACAAAAGATAGAGCAAGGATAGAAGCAACATGCTGCAACTAATTAATGTGGCATTTGGATGTTCATGAAAACTAAGGATGCTTGATTGTTTCTGGCCAACATAGTTCAAAAAAGATTTTCTTCCTACCTGAACTCACAGTTGTAAAAATGTGGGGAGAACTAGTATGACAAGCAATGACAATACAGCATGCGAAAATTTTATTCTGCTTAAAGTCATACCACCTAGCATTACAGAGTCATTCTGAGTCCTTGAAGGACCGAATACTATCTTCATCTTCCATCCTTGCTTGCTTAATTTTAGAAGTTACACTAATAAATATGCAAAACAAACGAGCACAGACCTAACCTAGAAAGATAACTATACTACATCAAGTCTGCTTCAACCTAATCTTATTAATGACTATGGTGCTCTACCAAGCATCAACTAATAGAATTGGTGTGAGCAAATACCTCCTCAATTTAAATGTTGATGCATATATGTCTTTCTATATACAATTTTAAATTTTTATAGTTTGTGATGCATGTTACATAAATCACTTGAATATAAATATGTGCCGGATCAATGGACTCATATTTTTTTCTAATAAAATACTAGAGCACAGAAGAATGATATAGATGGGGTAATTCTATTTTTTTTTTTTATTAAATTTATTATTTAGTATAAGTGTGACCTCTTCATTTCACTTATTTCTTTGTCTTTTAACTTCATTTCAATTCTATCTTGACCTAATGTAGTTTTACGTTTAGTGGCATGGTCAGGAAGTTGATAGCCCATATCCTAAAATGTTGATAAATCTACAAATCTCCTAAGAAGAATTCATAACAGAAGTTTTATTTTTCAGTTTGTGTTGGATATTTCGGAGGGGGAAAGGGCACATATTGATAGCTCCCTTCAACGTCCTGCATTGGAACATCTCAGCAATTTTTTTTTGGCAAAGTAGGTATTGAATATATGAAACATAAAAAGATTAAACGGAATAAAATAAAATTAAAAAAAAAAAAAGAAAAAAAAAAGAAAAAGAAAAAATAAGAAAAGAAATTGGCAGTTGCAAGTTCAGAAGCACTACATACCAGAAGTTGGCTGATTCCTTTCCCAGCCAATATCTCTGGTGAAGTCAGCACAAACTTTTCAGCAATAAGTGCACAACATGAACATTCCTGCATTTGCAGATCAGCATGTTCATCCAACTAAACTAGAGACAGAAAATGTACTGGTCAGAATAAAAATTTAAACTAGGTATATGCATATACATACGTGTAAGAATTAAACTTTCTCCAATTAAATTAGTTAAAATATATTTTACCTTTTAAAAAAAATAATAAATAGAAAAACAATAAAAGACAGATTATGCACATCTTTTAAATAATATTTCAAACATTTTCATAGAGAAGATATATATATATAATACCCGCCAATATTATAATATCACACTACTTTAAAATTTTCAAACAACAATTCTAAAAATCAAACTTCTATAACTTATTGGGAATAATATAATAGACATAGAGTAACAGTTGAAACAAAGGGGCAACAGCTAAATCAAGGCTGGCATGCACAATTCTGCTTGATAATCAACAATTGAAGCAGAAAAAAATAGAAGAATAAAAAAACAAATTAAAAAAAAAAAAAGAAGGAAGAGAGAGAGAGCATGGAAAACCTGTTGAAATCTCTAATTTCCTTGTTCCTAGCTCTATAAAACCAACTTGGTGGGGTTCTTTTTTCTAGAATGACCATTATGCATTATGCATTTTATATATTCCCTTGGAATATTAAGAACTTTAGAAAATCAACAATCTTCCTAGAACTTTAATAATGAAATTTTTTTTGCTACATTGATTACGCAAACTGTGCAACACAAAAGCCGATGTATAAAAGATACCATATAAGATCAAAGAGATAAAACAGAGGAGATTATACATAGATACATATATATACATCGATATGTACGTATACACAACCGTATTATATCCAAATACCTATTATCATAATTTAAGTTAAATAGAACCCAGAATTCAAATTTTGTCAAAGTGATTTCACAGTGTAATAAGCACATAACGAGTTTTTTAACAAGCACATAACAAATTGAACTTGTTATATCTCAAACCTGTATTTCCCACAGCGATTCACACTCAGACTACAAGCTGACTCCAGATTGTAATTTACCCTTTCGATTGTTAGGCCTTTTGTAATTTTCTAACCCTACAACATGTATTTGCAGAAAAAAAAAAAAAAAAAAAAAAAAAAAAAAAAAAAACTAGGGTGAGGATCATGAAATCGATGTGGGTTATATGAATGACAAATCGAAGATGGGGTTCTCTGAAAATCGAAGAAAAATGCATAATCCCTAAAATTTTGAAAGAAAAAAAAATGTTATACCTCAAGATTAAAAGTCTCTGGATATCACCTAAACGCGTCCCTTACATCTTGAATCTTCTAACAGTTGCGCCTGTAAGTGTCAGTATCGCGGGATTTCTTTCCAAAAGTCCAAGAGTTTAGATCGATGTGGCTGTCGGAACGATTGGGTGAGAGTGGAAGAGAGCGTGAGGGCTTGAGAGTGAAAAGAATGGAAGAGGCGTGAGGATAAGGATGGAAGAGGCGTGAGAACTGAAGACTTTAGGTAAATAGATGTTAAACGACATAGTTTGATGGAAATAAATTAATTTTATATATTATATTTTAATTCTTACAAAAGCGGCAAACAATAGATGAAGGCTAAATTTTGCCGCTTTATTTTTTTGTGGAATTGGGGACAGGCTGTTTATGGTTTTAGGGACAGTTTTGTAGTCCGTGCCAAAAAATAATGTTTTAAGCACAGTTTTAAAGTCTTTAGGGACAGTTTTAAAGACTGTGCCAAAAAACCATGTTTTAGGGACAGTTTTTAAAGACTGTCCCTAAAAAAGCATGTTTTAGGGACAGTTTTTAAGACTGTCCCTAAAGGACTGTTACTAAAACTCATATTTCTTGTAGTGATGGGCCATGGGAGAGAACAGTATCCACTTGTGATGGAGACTTGAACCTGAAAATGAATTATCCTCCCCAAGTATTGTATCTGTGAGCCCAAAGGATTCCCATAATTTTGATGCAGCATTCTAAACAACCTTTAGAGGAAGCTTCTTGTGGGTGGAAAACCCCACCAAGTGGTAGGAAGACCAAAAAGCCAGACCTTCTTCAGCAACCTCTCTTGGTGGTTCAATGACAGTTGAGTGTTCAGAGGTAGGGGCAAAGTATTCGAACTTCATTTTGTTTGAACCTAGTTGGACTACATTTGACCAGGTCAATGTATTAGATGTAGAGTGTGGTAGAGGGCTAACTGTGTTATCTATTGGTAGGGCACCTGTTTTATGTGCTGGATGTGCCATAACTGGTATAGTAGGTGTGTTGTCTTTAGGTAAAGCTGCTGATTTGTCTGTTTTGTCTGTTGGTGTATAATGTGGGAGTGGTAGGTCTATGTTTCTAGGCTGGTTGTTGAGAGTAGGAGAAGTACCATGTGGAGAGCATGTGTTGTTATTACCTTTTTGGGGAAACTGAGATGATGTAGCCTGCATGGAGGTGTTGACCAGACAAAGAGATTTGAAATTCAAATTTGAATTCGAGACCAAACCTGCAGCCACCAGTGGTGGAGGAGCATCCATAGCAGTGGTGGAGGGAAGTGGTGGAGGTGGAACAGGTGCTGGAGTAGTTGCTGGAGACTGTTGGTGATTGAGCTGTAGCTTAAGCTTTTTAAGCTCAACTTGTAGCTCTGCATTGATCTTCTTTTGGTGGTTGTACATTTCCATTGCTTTCCCCAGATTGTCATCCTTCCACTCGAGTTGCTCTTGCAGTCTGTCGATTTGGTGAGCTGGACATGAGTAAAGCAGAGGATTGAAATTCCTAGGGAGCTGTCCTGTAGAGGTTGGTTGCTGAGACTGTGTTTGTGGTGGCTTTGGTTTATTTCTGTTATGTACAACATTGTTAACTGGCCATATTGGTCTTGTGGTAGGGGAAGGAAAGTGAACAGGTTGTTGACCAGATACTGAAGGTGGGATTGGTGGAGGATATACCTGTGTTTGGGAGGTGATTGAAGGAGGTAATCTTTTGAGGATGGCTTTGGGAGTTGTTTGTTTTGGTAGTTGTGTAATGCGGTTATTTTGCGCTTGTGTGGTAGTTTTGTTTGGATGCTGAGATTGCTTGGATAAGGATTTTGGGATCTGGCTTGGTGTTGTGCTATGATGATTCAGTAGAAGAAAGGGAGGTTTGAGGTGATTAGCAATGGGATTTCTCAATGATGGAGGTTGCAGGAGGTTGAGCATGTTGCAGGAGGTTGGGCATATATGATTGTGATGATAATGACAAATTTTGGTTAAATATCAATCGGTTATGCAGAGAACTGGAATTCACATATATCATATATTTAACCATATAAATTACACTGTGAGGGATATCAATCGGTTTCACCCACTCGTTGATGGTTTGTATATATTGAGAGACTTCCAAACATATATTATGTAGCTTGTTTCTTTTATTGTATATGCATATATACGTATATACGTACAAAATTTAATTATGCCACAATAGCACCATTCTACAATAGCGAAGTACTTTTGTAACCTAGATCCCATTTATTACTCTTGATCTTGACTGATACCATCCAAGAAAAAAGTTTGTACACATATATTATCTGCATAACTCTGCCCCCAAAGTAATTTATGACTGGATCAAAAAGTTCTTCAATAAGCCAATTTTGGGTACAATGCTCGTACAATGTTGAATAAGGCTTGATCATGATTACCTCCAAATTAAAGAATAGATAAGGAATGTGCAAGTTTGATATGTGTCCAAGAGAGACATCCAAAGGAATTGCTATTACACACCTATATAACAAGTATTATATATATATATATATATATATGTATATTGTATATATTCATTCTCAAAGTATGATCTGAGATGTAGGGGACATGCATCCATAGAGGATGTAATTATGGTCAAACCCACAAAATTATATTTGCTAATTGCCAAGAATGAACTGGCAATGAAGCAATACCAACCCCATGCACTTATGTTATTATCATTCATGCTATAGTACTTCCATTTGTCCAAACTCGGATTTTGTTCTTGCTTGTGTTCAAAAGCTAGGGTTTAAATCAAGAGTAGTTGTGAGAGAAAACTGGCCGTCTCTCTGGTCTAACTTCATTGTAAGACATGGTCAAAGCAAAAAGTACAGTCATGTGTGTGTCTATATATGTATATGTATATATATACCAGGATAAACGCGTTCGTAAAGCCGTGTTAATTTGATTTCAATGGCACCAGCTAATTAAACAGTGAGCACACTACAAGACATATGAGATATGAAGGAAATTCAATTAAAAAAACCGATGTGTTACATCTATTGATTCTTTTTGGAACACTCTCTCTCTAGCCAGTTCTTTAGATGGTGCTAGCTTGATTAAATGAATAAGACTGTAACACTGCAGTATACGTAGTATACTGGTACTAGCAAGACCAAATCAACATTTGCTTTGACTTCAAACAAATATACATATATGTATATGTAGAAATTTTTTTTTTTTTTTTTGAAATTTATAAACCGAATAAAAAGCCAAACAATTCCCATTCACGTGATACAATAATGAAACTCACATGATATAATTGTGTAGCATTCATGTGGATCCCACTCCATTGCATTTCGCATTATCTACATTACACCATAACACCATTCTTATGAATATATATATATATATATATATATGAAGCAAGAAAGGGGATCAAGTAAGATATTTTTTCTTACCCGGTTAATTAACATATATAAACACAATATTGTGAAGTAAAAAAAAAAAAAGTGTAATATATGTTTGTGTAAACATGAGAAGCATGGTTGTCTATTCGCAATTGCTGCCTATCAAGCCTACGAAAATGATCTTCAAAGATTCTTTCACATGTCAAGAACTAAAAATGATATATTTTTGTACATTAACTGTGATAATAAAAGGAAATTTGAACTTGATGTAATAGAGGAAGTTTCATGCAGATTTCTTATAGTGATTTTGAACACATATTTTAACAAGAGCATAGACCATCTTTAGAACCAATTGACTTCCCTTTGTTAATCTTTTCTACATTTTCAAAATTTTCATTTCAAATAAACCAAATTTACGTGTAATTAAATTCCCTTTTTCTTTTTTTTGGGTTGCAATTGTTCAATGCTAAGTTCATATGAAACAATTCTTGTGTTGTCCTGACCAGTTGTGGCTAGTGATAGTTATACCAAGTCCCTTGTTCACACACACACACACACACACAAACAAACACACGGATAAAAAATTTGTAAGAAAAGTACGTCACAGAGCCGGCTAAAAGGAAAAAGCTCAATAAGCAAAGACCAAATAGAAACCTCATTAGAATACACAAAAGCAACAGTGGCAATGACAATGTCTTTGAATTGTCTCTTTCGTCCCCTACACCTTTTGATCCACTCTATAAAACCCTTCACTCTCTCTCCCTCTCCCTTTCCATCTCAAACCCTAATTCTCCATTTATCTTATTCTCTTCCACTTTCAAAACAACACCTTAATTTTGGCATGGAGTCTGCCAAGCATGGAAATTCCGACTCCTCAAGCGACGGAAATGATCAGCAAGCTAAAGTCAACGATGATGATACCGGTACTGGTCGATCCTACGAGTGCACTTTCTGCAGGAGGGGTTTCACTAATGCTCAGGCCTTGGGAGGGCACATGAATATACACAGAAAAGACAAGGCCAAGGCCAAGCAGCCTACTGATTCTTCGGTCTCAACCAGATCCAAACAAGACTACATGACTTCCAAGTACTATGCACCAATTTCAAGCGAAAGGCCACACCATTATGCAGCTTTGGGGGGTCAGGTGAACTATGATCAGTTCTATTTTCCGGCATCAAACCCTAGTTTTGTTCCACATCCATACCATATACATGATCATTTGCCGGTCCCAAGGTCCGAGCCTTTCAGTCTGCATGATGAGAGCATGGGTGCGAATCTAAGCCTGCAAATCAGCCCCCCACATGCGCAAGATAGCAGGGATACGAAGAAAGGTAGGAAGGAGAACGAAGTGGATTTGGAGCTTCGTCTCGGTCACTTGCCATAATTCACTGTTTTATGATATACCCTATATTAATAATTTTGTACAAAGAGTGATTAATTTCTTTCATGATCAGCTATGCTATTTCTTGATTTTCATGAAATTTGTGTGAACTAAATATAGCTACACTTGGGGTAAAGTCTAAAAGGAAGAGACATGTGATCTTCGATTGGGTATACAGGAAAAAAAAAAAAAAAAAAAAAAGAAAAAAAAAAAGAAAGAAAGAAGAAGGAGAGATGATCGAGTAGGTTAATGAATTGTTTAAGTAGACCAATTTACAGCTTGTTTGTGGTATTATGCCAAAATTTTGAGATCACATGAGACTTGCATGACAAGTACTATTTACCTTTCATCTATAAATGTTATTATGTTTGAATTCAAGATTACTTTGCTTCTCTCCTTCCATTATCTTTTGAATTCTTTGCTTAGTTGAGATTTGTTTTTTTACTTTGAGAACAATTGTTACATCTTAATAGTATCTTCTTTCAAATTGTGTTAGTTATCTAAATTCTTGTTGAATTGGTTGATATCTTGAATGAGCCATTAGCAATTAGAAATTACATTGCTGATAAGGAAATTAATGGTTACATCTTCTTCTTCTTTTTTCTTTTTCTTTTTTTCCAAAATCTGCTGTCATTAAGTAGTTTGAGTGACTGAATTTTATTAGTTAGTATGAAAATTCTAATGTCTCACTCTATGTTATATATCATTTGATTTCATAACATCATCAACTATCTGTGATAGAGTAGTACCACTTTCTTGAAGGTCAGTGTTGATTAGCATTTTCTATGTGTGTGTGTGTGTGTGTGTGTGTGTGGGGGGGGGGGGGGGGGGGGGGGGGGGTGAATTCTCTATAAAGATGAACAAAAGTCTCTCTCTCAATATGTGTGTGTGTTTTTTTTCTTTTGTGGGTAAATATGTGTGTGTGTTTGTGCATGTGTGTTGAATCGTCAAAATTTTAATTAGTAACTGCTAATGCATGTGGAATCTTCATTATACAATTTCAATCTATAATGCAGAATGAAATAATTGAATTTGTGAAACTGATTTGGAATCAGTGAAGTTCAATTGTTGAATTATATCAGAAGTAGGTCATAGTTTTTATATCACGATGCATTAATGCTACTCTCCTCAACTTAAAGGTCGATAGTTTTGTGCTATGTTTTATAGAACATCAGTAGGGTTCATATAGGGGTTATTGCAGCAGTTGTTCTACCTTAGAGAATAAGAAGTATGGGACTGTGGGATATACATATTTTCTTTATGAATTAATAAAATCTATCTTCATAACATTATTTTGATAAATTAATTTGTTCATAAGCAAAACAAAATTCTAGCATGTGAGAATGTTTAAGCATGAACTTTGAACCATGTTCATTTTTTTTTCCCGGAAATGAAGCGAAGTATTTATACCACCATGTTCATCTTAAGGCAACAAGAATTGAGATTCTGACACAATTTTGGATTTTCCTTAAATGGTTTCTCAAGTTAGCATGCATGAGAGCTAAAGATGATAATTTTGTGATAACCATTATTGTTTTAGTTTCTTGTGGAAATTTGTGAGAAGTAATTTGGAAGAAAATGCAGGAAAAAGAGCCTGATATAGAATAGTACTCATGGGAAACTGCAACTTCTGGTGTACTCAAATTTGGTTACCGTCACATGATTCTCATCATAAGAAAGTTTCTAGATACACTGATTAGTAATATTTCGGACTACTCTTTTCTTAAATTTTGTGGATTCAAAGTTGTGAATGTTCAAAAACATTAAATTCAAAAAATGCCATCAAATTTTAATGATATGTGGAGGTTAAACTTGTTTGTTTTTACGTGAAATTTATTTAGTATATCCACTACATGCATAATATCAGATAGAAAATGCTGTTTTCTCTTGTATTTGAAAAAGATAAAATCTACTGAAAAGGACTTTATCACAAGGCCAACCCTTTAATTTTGTTTGCTCAGTATGCCTCGACAGTAAAAAGATAAAAACCCAACAAAGTGTGCATTGATGCTGCCAATTGAAGATGACATACGTAGTGCACATGGGATATTAACAAAGCTGTAGAAAGACAACTTATTTCCTTGATATGATGCCACAAACAGGATGGGAAATTGGCATTTACATACATACATACATACATACATATATGTATATATATATATATAGTAGATGTGTCCCTTCCTTTGCTTAAACTGGAATATGATAGTTTGGCATGAGCAAAAGAAGAGTTTGGACTGAGCTCTATGTCCACTTCATTTCAGTACCATGTGTAGCATTGATGGAGGAAATGACACTTCTCATTGCATTAATGTTTTATACTTCATATCTGAGAGGGGAAAAAATATCTTCAAATTGATTAAATATGATTTTTCATGTAAATTTATTTTTTTCGAAAGTTGTTCTTCATTTAATTGTATCCACAATTAAGTAATAATAGCTAAAAAAATTTAAAATTAATTCAAGATTTTTTTTCATTGATGATTGAGAACAAATTAGTTGTGTCAACCTATGATCACTACTGTCCTTTTTTTTATTTTATTCATGACTTTACCATATATGAATATGTTTTAGTATGTATTAATAGAGAGAGCATTCATAAGCCTGTTCACATGGAGGCTAATGAATTCAACAATGGAAGGCAATACTTTTGTAACTCATCACGCAGAAAATGTGTGTCCATGTTTTATCATATGTATCTCTCTCTCTGTATCTATATATCTAGCTAGTTATCTCTCTCTCTCTACATATATAATATATATTGTATGTACATTGTAGAAAGGATCTCATATTCAACCGATTACTAGGTGCATGGTCGGATTATATATTACATCCAATTGTCATCAAATTCATTGCATCCAGCTGAGACATTTTGAAGTAAAGCTCACTTCATATAAAGATTAACAGATAACAGTTCATGTTCCTAAGGTGAAGCTAAGTATTAGACTCATTCAAGCTGGCCAAAATTAGTTTGGAATAGTTCTGCTTTATTACTTATACCATTGGGGAGACTCAACCATGCATAGACTGAGTATATTAATTGGCCAGCTATTGGATCATTCATTTTGGCCATTTGTTTTGATTTAGAAAGCTCAAAAATGAAGAATGATATCCGACCACTTAAACCTTTGGCCTTTGAATTGATATATCATCTGTATATTTCTATAAAAAAAACTGAATTTCGAGTTTAAATACTTCGGTGTGTTCGGCTGCATAGAATTGGAGCCAATTTTGGTTCAATGTTCTTAATTATTTTTCTCAAATTTCACCAATTATAATTCCGAGCATCCAATTCCATGCAACCGAAGACACTCTAATAGGACATTTGGATTACAGTGTTAATGCTTGTTCCGAATTTGGACCAAGCCGACAAACAACCAAGCTTCATTTTCCTTTGGATTAAAAGAATTGAAAGGAAGGACTAATGATAAGTAGTTCGAAAGTTGGATGCATGCGACTATGTTATGTGAGTGGGAGTCATTAAATATGATGATGTTGTCATTGGCATCATCCCTTACATAAATTTAGAAGGATGCCTCCAATTCTTATCATTAATCTGAATGAAAAGAAATGACAGGCAACAATAATAAATAAAGGGAGCTGATAATGGCACCCCACCATTATCCTGATTCGCTCCATTCCTTCTCTCTCCTAATTAAGATGAAGTTACAAAACAGTTCATAAACTATACAATAATTGATTGTTACTACCATAATTGTCCTTCTCTCTTAAGGTTAAAATTCTTAGCTAAATTCTCCTTCACATTACCTTCATTCATCTCTTCAAAAACAAAAATGAAAGATTTCCGTAATGAAGACAAGGAAATCTCATTATAGTATTTTTTATTTTTAATTATTTTGTTCTACTTCCTTCTTAAAAACATATATTTTGAGTTGGTTTTGAACATATTATTTATTCTTGTTGAATTAGACAAATCTAGAGCATCCTTATAAATACTGGATCAATCTATCAATATTTACTTTAAAACTGAATTTTATCTTGGATTTAATGAAAAAAATATTAGATACAATCCCTGATGAGACTGGAAAAATTCTGTAAATGTCCTTGCTATTCTTCTCTACTTCCTTGAAAAAGGTGTTCAACCAAGAGTATTACTGGTCCTTCTTTCTTTGTTTGCTTTCCCTTTTTCTTTGTGAACATGGGTTTGGGCTGGATTACATAATCATAGTGAAAACATTACCCTTAAGATGTTCAAGGCTTTCCAATGTTTTGAGAACTTTCCTTACAAGGAAGTTGAAAATCAAAGATCGGGGAAGAAATTATTGTTAAATAAAAGTGAAAAAGTTCAAGATTCGACATTAAGTTATCTTATTAGAATAAGAAGTTAGTAGTATTCTAGTTGGAAACAAATTTTTATTTAAATGAATAAAATTTATCACGTTATAGAAAAAAATATATTTAATTGAATTGAAAATCAAAACATATGTTAAAACAACAACGTAAAAATCTAAAGTTCGAAAAAAAAAAAAAAAGGTGATGAATCCTAAAAGTTGAGAGGGGATATAACTTGAGATAAGACTCAAATAAATTGAATTGGAAGAGTTTTCACTCTATACAAAAGACGACTATGGCATTGAAAATATAAGATTAAACATTGAATAAGGTAGGGACTCTTTTATAATTTTATTTTAAAAAATAATAGCAGAGCGCGAATATCAGCTCCCTAAATAAAAAGATTATTTATAACCCTTTAAATATTAATCATTTATTCTTTAAAAAAACAATAATTAGCAGGTAAAACGCTTTATCTGTATTACTTACAAGACAAGACAATGAAACATTATAATTATTCTTACCTTTATTTTCCTTCCTTGGTTTTCCAAACACAAATACAGTTGAACTTAACAAATATATTTTTTCCTTTCTTATTTCTCATTACAAATGCCTTCTTTCTTTCTTTTATTTCTATTTTTATCTAAATGTAGTGTCAACAAATAAATAAACATATAGGATTCCGAACTAATTCCCCTAAATTAGCCAAACGG